AGATGGTGTTTAAAGGCCTTAGCAAGATTAACAAAAGCAGATGTACCTTCTTGTTCTTCAAATAGTCCCTCTTTATTACATTTTGTGACTGTTCCAATCCTTTGGACCTTCAGAGGATGTCCAGAGTTAAGATAGTGGTTGACAGTTGACATGTTAAATGGAAAATGAATGGATAATTGGCTTTGATCACAGTCTCATATTGCCTTATCTAGACAGGAGGGATATTTGTATGTGTTACCCATATTCTTTGCAGAGAATGCACCTGAGTCTAACTCTTGAGTAGTAACATCATTCATTGTTTAGGGAACCAGGGAAAAGGGGCTGAAAGAAACGGAAGCAGATGGCAGTTGAGGTAATTGAGATACAATATAGCTTGAAGGCATCCTGGAATGCCACATAATTGTACTAGTGTGAACAGAAGAGAAATATTCTACTTCACTTGATGTGTAAGCTGAGTCAGATTTTATAGCTTGCCCTGAATCAAAATTCCTATAAGATGGGGAGGGGGAGGGTGCAAACAGTTTGAGATAATGGTAGAGAATGGTAGGAACGATTCCCCCAACTGTAAGTGTTCATCAGAGAGAAGGCCCAGGTTTTAATAAAATGTTAGAAAATTCTGCATACATTGATATGGGAAGATACTAATATTGGGAGCAACAGATCTGGATTATGAATAACCAAGCCAAATGTGTTACCTTCACCTTTTAATTAACTCACCCTATCATTGCAAGGGGGAAGTATTTTGCTGTGGTAGTGGTGGTGATTGTAAGCATCTCACAATTGAGAATGGCTTCCTTGAACCTCTGATGGAGAGCTGGGGACAGGAAATGAAGCTTCACATCCTGCCTCCATGACTTACTAAATTATGTGACCCTGGACAAGTGTCTTAGCCTCCCCAAGCCTCACTTTGTTCATCTGTAAAATGGGCCTAATAATATCACCCCCATTAGGCATTTAGTTTAGTGCCCAATATGTTTTCAGGATATAATAAGTAATAGTAATATCATTAAATATAAATATATATGCATAGTTTAGCAGTTTTGCCCACCAAGCAAACCAAGGACCGTAGGATATTCAAGGATGCAGTTTCTCACTGTACCAGGAAACCCACTCCACATGGCTATCGTGAGTGTTTTAGAATATCCTCTTCTTCTGTAGACCTGGAATAATTTTTCTGCATTACCCTCCACTCTCTTTTGGTTCATATGTATATGTAGACCATGTTGTTCATTTAAATAGAAGTTAAAATAAGAATGTTTCCTTGAAAAAACACTTTCTGGTTACATTATCAGACTGACACAAAGGAAGTTTTGTTAAACTGATTGTTACATACTTACAAATCATCTGCTAAAAATGGTTCCTCCTAAATGTATTAAGGCCAAAATTAATTTATAAAATTTAGATCCCTTTCAAAGTTTAAATAATCATATCCTATCTATAGACCACTTTTGCCTATGAGGTTAAAGTATATATCATATGTATAAAGTATACATCAATGGTATGTTAATATTTGATTCTACTACATGTTAGTCATGCCAAAGACCCCACAGTGATACCTAATATAAATGGCTCACTCTGGGTTCACAACTGAAACCAACAAAAGATGCAAACTGATTGTGATTTATTTTAATATTAAAATCTTACAGTACTTTTTGAGCTATTTTATAAAATAATTAATTTTAAAATGGATGAGGTAGTAACTTTGAGGTTTAGCTAATTATCTTTAAATTAAATATAGCATTTAAAATAACCATTTTAATTAAATGCAAGACTCGGGCAACTAATCATTAAAAGTGGAATTGTTAATTTGAGATTTATCACTCTGAAACCACTTGTACCACATTTCTAGTGAATTCTTTCCTCTACTTAAATGAAAGACAAAATGTATCTCCCCAAAGTGGCTGCTAATAAAAGATAACCCTTTCTTGGGTCATGGTTGCCAATTTGATATTGAATCAGAGCAAAAATAGCTACATACATATAAAACTGTAGCTACTACTTGCTAAACTATTTTCAACTTGACTTATATTTAGTTCTATAAATGCCTAAGAAAAATCCTAACAATTGTAATAGCATTTATTACTGCACAACAAAATGGACATATTTTGTAAAAACAAATTTATGATTTTTATAGAGGAAACTCTGGGGTTTAAATAATTTTGTGATTTAATTTTTTAATTAAAATGCTATATTGCAATTTCAAGAATAATGAGGAATTACACTTTGAACAGCTTCATTTTATAAATATTTATACATCAACTTTTCTATTTGTAAGAATTTACAAATATATTGGTATATTCAAATTTGTATATAAAACTTTGTGTTTGTTTAAAGAAATCACTGGCTAGTTCTTTTTCTTATGTCTGTATTTTTTTATTAAAGTATAGTTGATTTACAACGTTATATTAGTTTCAGGCATACAACACAGTGATTCAATATTTTTATAGCTCATACTCTATTTAAAGTTACCATAAAATATTGGCCATATTCTCTGCACTGTACAATATACCATTGTGTCTTATTTATTTTATTCATAGTAGTTTATACCTCTTAATGCCTTACACCTATCTTACCCTCTCACCATCCCTCTCTCCACTGGTAACCACTAATTTGTTCTCTGTATCTGTGAGTCTATTTCTGTTTTGTTGTATTCATTTGTTTTATTTTTTAGATTCCACACATAAATGATATCATACAGTATTTGTCTTTCTCTGTCTGACTTTATTTCACTAAGCATAATGCCCTCCAGGTCCGTCCATGTTGTTGTAAAAGGCAAAATTTCATTTTCTTTTTTATGGTTGAGCAATATTTATTTATATATGTATACATGTATGTATACGTGTGTGTGTGTATATGTGTGTGTGTATGTGTGTATATATACATATACATATATATATGTGTGTGTGTATATATATATATACACCTTCTTTATCCCGTTGTCTGCTGATAAACACTTAGGTTGCTTCCATACCTTGCTATTGTCAGTTAGTGCTGCTATAAACATTAGGGTGCAGATATCTCTTCGAACTAGCATTTCTATTTTCTTCAGATATATATCCAGGAGTGGAGTTGCTGGATCATATGGTACTTCTGTTTTTAGTTTTTTGAGGAACCTCCATACTATTTTCCATAATGGCTGCTTGGGTTTACATTCCCACCAACAGTTTACTAATGTTCCCTTTTCTCTGCATTGGCTAGTTCTTATTGTACAATGTAACTATCATTTAGCACATTTACACTGACACATGGTAAGTGCTTAATAAATGTTTGTAAATTGAGTGAATAAATATATTGACACATTTTATAAATATCTTTTAAAAGATTCTCCTTTAAAACCATTTATTGCTATATATTACCTTCTACTTTAACCTCCTGAATTAGAATCACTGATAAAGCTGAAGTGCATCTACGTACATCTTTGAAGGCAGTGTATTTTCTGTTATCTATTGCTTTTCTGTGTCCTGGAATTAGCACAAATGTTAAGAATATAAAAGAGAGCAGGGCCTCTGCTGGCCGAGAGGGTGATTTAAAGGCAAGTTCAGTTGTTTTGTTTCTTGTACTAAAGACATGCAATTACTGCTTGTCACATTTTTCTTCTGTTGTAAAAACTGAACTAATTGAAGGTATTACCCTTTGGGGACGAGTTCTACAGTGTAATGAATGTTGAGTGCCCTCTTGAGTTTATCATTTTAATTATTCATAATTATAATGATTTATGTTTATTTGGGAACTTCAGAAATAATTCTAGTTTGTCAAACAAATTGAGAAGCAGAGTAGTTGCAACTTTGTTTTGTTTTATTTTATACTGAGGTCTCAGCATGCCTGTGAACAAGCCGAGAAGTTCTCACAATCAATGGAGCCAGTTTTCTGGCTAAAAGAGCACACTGTTGGCGTGTGCCATGTCCTGCAATAACTGAATGAACTTTTTTCTACTCATTCTCTGGTTTCTCTAGAACTCTTTGGGCAATATCGGGATTGTGAGGGGAGCATTGAAAGGATTCAGTGAAAAACTAGAAATAACGTATGAAAGTGGGTTAATCAGAAGAAATACAATAGATTTGGTAGCTGGCTATTAGCCAGGTGTATACACTTTCAAGGTCTTTCCATTTCTTGAAAGAGATTGTGTGTGTGTGTGTGTGTGTGTGTGTGTGTGTCTTTACTTTGCACTCTAAATATATTTTCATCCAATGGACCCAAGTAAATGAAGAATATTCTGGCTATTTTGGACTAGAATAATCTCTATGTCTATTATTATCAAATATATATTAGTGATAATGATGTATTAGAGCTGGGCTTCTACGGTCTATTTAGATTTCATATACATTCTTAATAATAGCCTGAAATCACAATGAAATGTTACTTTTAAACAAAGAGATTGCCATTGCAAATCTGTTTCATTGCAATCTGTTTCATTTCCCTCATCACTTTCTCTGTTTCATCTCTTCCAATACAACACTTTCAGTTTTAGAGCCAGACGTGTATGCTGCAGCTAGAAAATTTCTCAGGTCTCCTGGTAATCTATACTCAATTTAGGAAGAAGCAGCAATTGCTTAATATATTCAAGTGGTAGCAAAGGTAAGAATGATTGATGGATAATCATCAAATGGTTGTAAAAAGTCAGTTGAGATACACAATATATAGCGTTTTTAAGGAGAGTACTTTTAACCACACTCAACCTAAAAACCTCAGCAGCCAGATCAGGAACGAGAACATTACCTGAAAGTACAGGTGGATAGCCCTCAATTTACAAATCCATCTCTGACCAAAGAAAATTAGCAATCACATATTCCAAGGTTAAGCTTAAATGTGAGCTCTGCTCTTCATCAGCAAATTGTTTAATAAAGGGACAGGAAGTACTAGTAAAAGAAAAGAAAGAAAGAAATGTTCTGATCATACATGCTTTTTTCCCCACAAATTTTTAAACACAGCTACTAAGGAGCAGAGAAAAAAAATAAAAAAGACTAATTGGAAAACCACTTTGCCTCTGTCTCTACCCCTAGGTGCTAACAGAGCAGGGAGCAAGCCAAAGGGACAGTGGTAGGTGTGGAAAGGCCATGGACTATCCACCAATCAGATAATCACCGCTGGAGTAACTGGGAAGTGTCTGAATGTAGGTATGTGTCCTGAAGACTTCTGTGTGCTCTTGCAATCCCTTATCTAACTCCCCACCCCTGTGACACACCTGCCGTCTCATCAGCCTTTTGAAAGCACTCCTTGGCAGGACCTGGATGTGTGTGCATATGCGCAGAGCCACTCCAAGATGCAGGGTGGCTCTCCAGCAGGAGGTCCTCCCCCGTCTCTGGGCTTTTAGAACATTCTGCAGAGGGCAGGGAGGGTATACCTCAGTGGTAGAGCACATTCTTAGTATGATCCAGGTCCAGGGTTCAACCCCCAGAACCTCCATTAAAATAAATGAAGCTAATTACCTATCCCCTAAAAACAAAATATCAAAAGAACATCCTACAAAATGACTTTAAACTTCCTCCTAACTCTAGTCTCAGTGTTTACATATAGAACCCTTCTTCCTCACTGACACTGAGCCTTGTTTCCTGAACACTGAAAGCCTTTGTCCTTGCTGTCTCATTATCTGAAATAACATTCCCCAATTCTCTTTGCTGGTTTTAGTTCTGTTTTCCCTCCGAGTCCTGAGTCCAGTTGCACCAACATTACATCTTGCTGATTCCCCATCCCAGGTATTTTCTCCCTTCCGAATGTCTGTAGAACTTTGCATCCTACTTCTCCTCTGGCATTTGACAACTTGTATCGTGTATTGCTGTGTCTTTCTTCATGTATCCGTCCTGTTTCCCCAGTGTAGCTGGTTATTTCTGGAGAGGCAGGATCTGCTGCATGTTTGTATACAGAAGTCCAGGACAGGGGAAATGGGCATGTAACAAGCTACTATGAGGGAGCGAGGCAACGAAGGGAAGTGGTTGAGAACACGGACTCTGGAGCTAGACTGCCTGAATTTCAGTTCCTGCTCAACCGATTACTAGCTGCTTGAACTTGGCAAGATTTAAAAAAAGAAAAAAAAACTTTCTATGTCTTAATTTTCTCATCTCCAATAATAATAATACAACCATCTCCTTAAGTTGTAAAGTTTCAATGAGCTAATAAATAAAAAGAGCATAGAATAGTGCCCAATACATATCAAACATTCAGAAATCATTATTTATTTATTACTGTATGTCTAATAATTGTTCATCTCATTTGATTTTCTCAATAATACTAGAAGATCGATGGCATCATTCCCATTCTAAACAATGCAACCTTGTGGCCCTGAGAGGTCAGGTTACTGCCCAAAATCCTGAGAAGAGGCAGAATGAGCAACAAAGTGTCTGACCTAAACCCTGAGCTGTTCCACTTCCCACACTGCTTCACACGGTTCCCTGGTGACTAGTTCATATTGATAATAATGGAATTTGTTCTCCTCTATTCTTACAATTTAAACCAAATACATCGCAACAAATATTTGTGTTTCCAGGCACTGAAGGAGAAAGATGGAGATGACGACAATTGGCTATTCCTACCCTAGGATATTTTACAATCTAGGTGATTCAAGTAATGGAAACAAAGCAGAAACATCTAATAGGATTCTAACGTCTCACTTCTAAGTTGCTTTAGAGACTGGCCTTCCATGGTCCCTCCCTCACCCTGTGTAATAGTGTCAGTTGAATACAGTATCACTGTTGATAAAAATAACACTTTGGGGGTTGGTGGGATGTGCTATTTAAGAGTAAACTATAAGATTTATCAGTTTCAAAATTGTGTTATTCTATTTGAAATTATTTTTGAAGAATTTACAAAGAGCTCTGTTAAACTTGGCAGAGCTAGCCCCTCCTGGAATCTCTTTGTTTTCCAGGAAATCATTGACAAGTCTTGTTCCCGCTGCCAAAATTCCTTGGCTGCTGCTATTCCACTTGTGCTGTCGCACTTCCCACTGTGCTGGGATGTAGTAGATGACTGATAAATCTTAGGGTAAATTAAATTTTGTCACTCTACTGATTCTTAAATATTTTCTGCTCTTCTGGCCCACCTCTGAATTACAGAGTAACTTCAGAGATCCTCTGTAGACCTAGAGAGGGGACTGGGAGGGGTAACATTTTTGACTGCTTACCTTATTCTAGGTTTTTTAATTTACATACATCATTTCATTGAATTCTCAAATTAACCCCAGGAAATAGGTATTGTTATTCCCCTTCTACCAACAAGGAAGCTAAAATTCAGAGTTTAACTAACATATTTTAAAAACCACACAGCTGGTGAGAATTTCCAACACAAGTCTAATCAACCAAGCAAATGATGAGGCAGTAATGGGTATGACATAAGGGCTTGATTCAGAGTTAGGAGGCGGTTACTATGTTTTGACACTAACTTCAAGTGACTCAGGCATATCATAGAACCTCTTCCTGTCTCTGTATCCTCATTGCCCGTGACATTGTTGTGAGGATCAAAATATTTTATTTGTAAGATGGCTCTGAGATTATGATTGACTTTATAAACGTACTATTATAGGTGTATGTCTGGTAAATAGAAACGTTGACACAGTTAAGAAAGCCTCAAGCAGTTTGAAATTCTTAGCAGGCAATGGGAAGGAAGGTGGAAGCATTGAGAGGAAGCCAAGACCAAACACAAAGAACCACCATGCCTGCACAGGGACTCTGGGAGCAGATCTAGAAAAGATGGCTCTAGTTACGATGCTGACCGAATGCTGTTCAGTTATCAGTCACTAGGTGGCTCTTACCCTTATAATATGTTATAATATGTTCTTGAATGTAGGTATAATGGCCGTAATCACTAAACCAAGGACTAGACATAGAACAAGGCATTGGAAATCAGGACTGCTGTATATGGAACCATGTACCTTGTAAAAGGAACCGCTGTATGGCCAGCTACTCATTCAGAGGAGTAAGAGTAACTGTCCTTCAATACATTGTTCAAAAAGTACGTGTCCAGCTTCCAAAGTACCTGAAACACCCTACAGGCCTCAGTGGGATTCAGCCTGCTGCTTCTTTATAAAAATGTATTTATTTATTTATTTTACTGATTTATAGTTAGTTTACAGTGTGTTAATTTCTGGTATACAGCACAGTGATTCAGTCATACATGTATAGATTCCTTTTCATATTCTTTTTCATTATAGGCTATTACAGGGAATTCAGGGTTTGCAGATACTACTATACATAATGCAGATAAACAACAAGGCCCTACTGTATAGCACGGGGAACTGTATTCAGTACTGTGTAAGAGCCTGCTGCTTCTTGAAACAATCTCTTGGGAAGTTTTTCAGAGGAATTAATGGCACTTCAAGTTGTGCCTGATGTCTGGTTTTGACCTTGTAGATGTTGAAGGGATGTAATTGTATTTGATGAGTTATTAAGCATGTGCTTTAGTTGTTATGATAGTAAAAACAGCTGTTTCTTAAAACTGTAAGGTGCTTTCCATTTCTGAGCATTTAATTGCATTCTTACTGAATTCAGATAAGTCTTTAATCTCAGCATATGATCTAACGCATGTATTTAGATTTAAGAAAGTCACCCACTTTTTTCCCATTCTTTTGTTTACATGATAAGTTACAGAAACCACTTAGCAGGTTTTTTAAAATTGTATTTTAACCTGAATGAGTATTGGTAACCTAGCTTGATACTTTGAACAGTATTCAAGGTGTCAAAGAGAAATTAGCCAACCACGTTCGTGTCTTTTGGGAAAGCCTGCCTAGAAGAGGCCTCTAGTTCCACGATTACTGCTGACATGGAAGATCTATCATCAGTTACTCAGATTCATCTGGCCAATTTCAATGGTCAAGTATTTCTAAAAATATAGGCCTATGACAACAGCACGTTTAACTTTTTTGAAATAGCCTCTGTAACATTTGCAGTTAGGCATCATTGTTAGGTATTAAGTATCTGGATGGTAGAATGGGTTGCAAAAATAATGATTGCACTAATACAGCAAAAAATGGCTAATTTGCGGAATACTTTTAGGGTCTTGTCCTAAATTATAGAACTATTTTGTAAACTCTGTCACTATATGAATATTATTTCTGAGAACAATTTTTATAATACCAAATTATACTTTTCTGAAAAGTGCTGGAATATAATAGAGAAAAATGTTCCTACCTCTATCACATAAAAAATATTCATGAACATGGGTTCCTGACATATAGTAGGATGGTACCCATCTCAGAGGAATTATATTATCTGCCATTCACAGGTGGTCTTGAAAATAGATAGTTCTCAGTCTTCAGGATGTCCCTGCAAGGAGATTTTGTCTTCCTCACATATCTTCATAACATTAAGTTTCAGAAAGTTTAATAACTAGTATATGGTAGTGCCACAATTCAAGCCCGAATCTTTTAGACTCCTGTACTCATGCTCTTTCACTATTAGGGAAGCCAATCACCTCCATAACAGATAGGATGTGATGAGTGAAAAAGAAAAATTCTGAAAATAAACCAACAATAATAGCTACCATTTATTAATGTGCCAGGTACTGGGCTAGATGCCCGAGGATCTTTAAATTCATTATTCTAATAAGGATTCAATCATCTCAGGTTTTTCAAATTAAGTGGATATTATATCCCCATAGTTTATTTATTTTATCTGTCCGATTTACTTCACTTAGCGTAATACCCTCTAGGTCCATCCCTGTTGTTGCACGTATACACACCACATTTTCTTTGTCTATTTATCTATCAAAGGACACTTAAGTTGCTTCCATATTTGGCCATTGTAAATAATGCTGCCATGAATATTGGTGTGCATATATTCTTTTGAGTTCATATTTTTGTCTTCTTTGGGTAAATACCCAGAAGTGAAATTGCTGGATCATATGGCAGTTCTGTTTTTAATTTTTTGAGAAACCTCCATGCTGTTTTCCATAGTGGCTGCACTGATTTACATTCCCACCAACAGTATATGACAGTTTCTTTTTCTTCACATCCTCACCAACACATTATTTGTTGCCTTTTTGGTAATAGCCATTCTGAAAGGTGTGAGTGGCATTTCAGTGGTTTTAATTTGCATTTCTGATGATTAGTGATTTTGACCATCTTTTAATATATTTGTTGGCCA